CTAAAATATAGTTCTATAATAATAAATTAATATATTCTAGATAAGAATAATCTAGACTTTTCTACTAAATCTTTATTATACTTATTAAAAGTAGAGAAATACTTTAATTCTACTACTAAGAAAAAGTAGCTTTTAAATAAAAAAAAAGCTTTATTTAGAAGAAAATATATTAAGAAGACTATTAACAAGTTAAGATATATAAACTTTAATAAAGTTATATTTTTAGATAAGTCTTTTATATAGTATAAGTATAGTACTAAGTAAGAATATATTAGAAAGAGAAAAAATAAAAGAACTAGACCTAAATAAGTCTTTACACCTAATACTAGTAAGTTTAAAAAAGTTTTAAATAAAGTAAATAATTCTTTAAGAAATCTAGTATTTTTCTAGTTTTTTAGATTATTTTTAGCTAGCTTACTAACTAAGTTATAGCTTAAAATATTACTATCTTTAATTAGAGAGCTATCTAAATAAATAAAAGATTTAAGCTATATTTAACTAAGACTTTATAAAACTCTAGAAGCTTTATAAATATAAAATATATAAAAAAGAGTTTAACTTTAATACTTAAACCTCTTTCTAGAAGAGATAAGAAAGAATTCTTTTAATTCTAACTTTAAATAACAATAACTTAATTAATTCTTATTATTATTTAAAAAAAGTTTTATATTAAAAAAGCTAATATCTTCTTTTATTTAGAGTAGAAATTTTAGTAAAATAATATAAAAATCTAAAAAACTTTAGCTATTTTAAAATAGTATAGAAAAAAAAAAAATCTCTTTTTAAGTATTTTACTTATAGCTTAGATTTAAATCTTTTAAAAGATATTTAAAGTTTACTAAGAAATAGACTAGTAAAAAGACTTACTAGCTTTTTAGGTGTAAAAGCTAGTAAAAAAGTAGTAAAATTATTTTCTACTACTATTTTAGAAAAGTAGGTAGCTATACTATAAAAATTAAAAAATAACTATATTAAAAGCTATTTAAGTATTATAAGGTAGTAGAAAGAGCTAGAGGTTAGTATACTAAGTACTAGTTACTAGATCTAGCTAGCTTATAATATAAAAAGCTTAAAAAAAAACTTTTTAATCTAACTATTATAAAAAAAAATAAAATAACTTTTAATTTAACTTAGTAATAGACCTAAGTATATATATTAGTATATTAAAATTTTAGCTAAATTAATACTATAAATAAAAAGATATAGACTAAATTAAGTAGAGCTTTTTAGTATACCTAAATACTACTAACGTTATACTAGTTAAACCTTACTAATTAAAATTCTAAAGACGCTTACTTAAAGACTAAGTTCTTAGCTTTTTTAAATACTAGAAATTATAGTTTTAGCTAGTCTAGTTGTCTAGATATATTACTTTTAAAAAGATAACTTTTTAAATATCTTTTTCTTTTTATTACTCTACTATAGTATATATAAAACTACTAAAGTTTAGATTTTAAATCTAAGGTTCTTTCTATATTTTTTCTTACTCTACTAACTAAAACTTACTTTCTTTATATATTCAAACACTAATTATTAGTAGACTATTAATACTTATAATATAAAAGTCTTATTTTAAAATTATAGAGCTTAATAGATATTAATAAAATACTATCTATCTTTAATATACTAAGTATAGTTATTAGAAGGTTAAAATTTAGATTAGTAGTAGTACTTCTATTAGTATAAAATAAACTTTTTAAATTAGATCTAGTAAAGTTATTATAATTAATATACTAGTGTTTATTTATAGTAAAGTATATTAGACTCTAATTAGATATTAAAATTAACTTCTAATTCTAAGTTTAATAAGGTAAGAATTTTAAAAACTAAATAAAAATAATAAAAGTAACTTAGTATTTTTACTTAAGATAAACTTAAGAAACTTAGAAGTATATTTTCTATATACTATATTCTTTCTTAAGCTCTTAAACTATTAGTAGTTTAATTACTAATATAATTATTTATAAAATTATCTAAATATTTATATTAAGCTAAGTTAAAGATTTTTTAAATTATTATATTAAGTATTTTTTATATATATACTACTACTTTTAAAACTATTTTTAGTATTCTAATTCTAGAAGCTATAATAAAAGCTATATTAAACCTCTTTACTTATACTATACTATAGACTATTAGATCTATTCTAGATAGCTACTTTACTAGTTATAAGCTATATACTAGTGTACTAATATAGTAACTTATTAAATTTTTATATTCTTTACTTCTAATATAGTTTAGTCTAAATATTAGTATTTAAAGTTTTTCTTCTATATTTTCTTTTCTACTTTAAAATAGCTAATATATTTTAAATAAATACCTTTAGTATAAAAGTTATTCTTAGAATAATAGAAAGTCTAGCTTACTTATAATAATTTTATAAGAATTATAATTACTTACACTATTTCTTCTTATAGCTTAATAGATATAGTAAAGTTAGTATTAGATTTTTATTTCTTAATAGATTCTTAAAAAATTATACTAGAGTAAGAGAATATTTTAAAATAGTAATATAAGCTTAAAAGATAATAATAAACTATTATTAGCTTCTTTAATAGTATAAGATACTATTAATTATAGACTAGTAATAATAAAGTTCTATTATATCTATAAAGTTTAAAAACTTAAGCTTATTATATTATATTATTAGATAATTATTCTTAATAGAGTATATTATAGTAATACTATTACTATTAAACTATTAAGATCTTATATACTATTTTTACTTAAAAGTTATATATATTAGTATAGTTCTACTATATATAGAGATTTTAGTTTAAAATAAATATACTAAGATTATTAAAGTCTACTAGTAAATTTTTTACATATAAGCTTACTATATTTATCTACTCTTCTATAAATAAAAAGTTTAAAAATAATAATATAAAGTACTAATAATATAGTTCTAGCACTAGTTAAAATAAGAAAAAGCTTTTTTACTATTATAAAGTAGTACTAGTAAGAAGAAAAGTCTTACTTTATCTTATACTTATATATCTAGATCTAAGTTTATTTTACTTTATTAATTATATTCTTATAAGTAATATTATATTTCTAGAATTTACACTACTTTCTAGAAACTAGCTCTATTACTATAAAGCTACTAGCCTACTAAAAGCATCTATTATTATAGTAATACTAAAGCTACTTAGCGTAGTATTTAATAGAATAAAATTTACTTTATATATAGAATTCTTAGTCTATATCTTAGTAATACTTATGCAAAGATACCTAATACAAAGCAAACTTGCGGGACTCTACGCCGCCTGCTATTCTATACTCTAACAACTATAGTAACTAAGGAACGCATTGACAGAACACAGGGTACATATGCTAAGATTAGGTGTTCAACCCACTCATCATAGCGTTGAATGCGCTATCGTTAATAGGACCCACGCTGCGCTTCCAAGCCTTAATCTTGCGCTGTTCCTCAAGAACCGCGGCATCATCAGGATTACGAGTAGCCAGCATGTTGATGGTCACGAGCGCGAACGGAACCAAGCTCGACTCTCCCCAGAGCCGCAGAAATTTGGCGTACCGAAACGTGCTCCTCATCTCTTGCGCCGGCGAGGGTTTCCATGAGTGCTCGACGCCCCAGTATCCTTCCTCGGTGCTACTCTTCACTTCTCCGTAGGACTTCTGAATGCCGGGCAGGACCTCGCGATCTCCTTCCTCTAGCCATTTGAGTCCGATGGCTACGATGTTGAGATTCGTGGTGTAGTAGAGCTCGGCAACCTTTGTCACGAATGAAGGGCCGCCTTCTTCGATCAGACGCTTCCATGTGTCGGATTTGTGGGCTTCATCGATCTCGTCTCTGACTCCAGCCCAAAGCTTCAGGCAGCCACCCTCGCCTTGTTTAAACAGCTGTGTTCCCTCAGCTTTTCTCGCGGTCCATGATGAGATGACAGCGTCCAGATCATGGAATTTGCTACGTGCGAAGTCTTCTTTGGCTGATTTAGCAAGGGGTTCCTCGACGGTACCACTAATGGTGACCCGTGGCATGTCGCGGAAGCTCTGGCGGAAAGGCTCCAACAGCTCTTCCTGGGTTTTGGCCGAAGAGAAGTAAGTCGTTGGGCCTTCGAGCTGGTACGGTGGACGCTTGATCACCGGTGCAAGTTCGAAATCCAAAGTTACGAGACTCTTGTAGTCTTCCAGGCGGTCATCGCCTCCTTTGATGGCCTCGCAGAGGAGCTTGACATCTCGAAACAGCATGATAACGTTGCAAGGCTCCAACAGCTCTGAAGGTGGCAACTCCTTCCTCCATCGAGGGTTGCTGTTCCCTATTGTGATATGCATGGCGTAGCCTCGAAAACGTTGGGTGATGGGCTTGATGACCTTGTTCCCACTCTTCTTTTTTGTCTTGGTGCCGTTGTCCAAGTCGAAAGCTAGCGTTGGCACGGCATTGGCCTTGAGCATGTACGCGAAATGTAGACCGCCAGTCGAAGACACGAGAAGGAACCGGTTCCTTTTGATCATGGCGTCGTAGCTCTCGGCGTAGATCTGCTTGTTAACGCGTAGGATACTTGGGCTGAAGTCTTTTTTAGACAGCATTGTGCCGTGCGTAACAGACTCGGGACGCGGGAATGTGCATAGCAGTATGCCATATATCTTGTCGCGAATCTCACGGGGGAGATCGAGGAAGCGGAAAGAAGTCATGTCTGGTGATTCTGATGAACTGTTCGGGACGATGTGTAGAGGTTGTGTTCAGACACGAGCACGGGATCGTGCGGGGCTCAAATTCAACGGCGGTGAGTGGATACCCTGCGGTCTAGTACGTTGTGGGTTAGGCTGAAACAGCATGTTGACGAGTACTTGCGCGGCCTCTTTCGCGCAACCACAATACTCACCCTATCGCATATAGGCCCTATCTCGATACATTAGACATCTAGTAATACTAATTTCTTAAAAGATGTGCAATAGGCACATGTTTAGATCCCCTTACAGCAGGGTGTCTTTCGCGGCATAACTGATGAGGAACACCGATTCTTGTTGAACTGTATCTATAAGCTTCCCTCCGGTTTCTTGTACACTGGGACCGCTACATCGGGATCGTATGTGGACTGCACGATCTTGCTCCCTGGGGGAAATGCTATTTTGGTGCCATCAGGTAATTCCGCTTCCTCGGATCTATCGCTCGCGATCATCCATGCGCTCTTCAAGCCCGCCTCTCTCGCAATATCTTCTTTGATTCGATAGACAATCTCCGGCCGCGGAATGAAGTTGTCCAAGTCTCTGCCATTTGTACTCTCTTCTAGCTCGTCCGGTGTAGCTGTGACCCAAGTTGGGTTTACGTAACGATACTTGATGTGATCGAAACCCATGCAGAACATTTTGTCCTGAACAAAATCCTCCGGTATGGGATAAGGTACACCGACCGTTTCTAGATCATTTCGGATATCGGTATTGGCGATATTGTAGTTCACATGCGTGATGACAACGTCGCGAATATCCATGCGAATCTTGTAGAGAGTGTCCAAGTTCTCGGCTAATCCCTGATCGACGTCGAATTGCTCAGCAAAATGGTCAAGATACCAGACACCGCCGTCGGTGGGCGTTTGAGCGTCGATAACAAGTAAGGGATCTGCATCAAGGAAGGCTCTCCTCAAGTCTGCATGGGAGAGGTTTGACAAGTCGCGTTTGTCTTCGATGAACAGCTGCTCTGCAGGATATGGAGAGCACATGTTGGCGCCAATGGCGAAGAGTTCCTGGACTGCATCGAGTTGGGTAGGTGTAAGATCGGCGATGAGAACGCCAAGAAAGCGCTCTTTGTCGCGGTACAAGTTTGGGTCGTAGACCATGCTTACGTATGTAGCTCTGGAGGTGATCAGGATCCCTCTCAAAGTGTGTATCACATGGCTTCAATACAAGCAAGCTGTCGATCTTTATAGTTTCCCATGGGCTGCTTGTTGGCTTGTAAGATGGCAACGCGCATGGTAATTGCACGCCTGACAAACGTCTGACGTCACATATTGCGGGACGCGCTCCAGAACGCCTCCAGGGCTGCGAAATCCGCCGCGGCGAAACCGGGACCGCGTGCTGGAGCCTACGAGGCTGAACGCCTCAACTGTCGTGTCACGGTGATTGGAAGCGCAATGTTGATGTGTTGTTCCCAACTATTGGTCCTATGCAAAGTCAGCGTATGCATACCTAGGTAAGCAGGCGCATCATCGCAGCTGAACTTTGCCCTTGCGCAACACTTTCTTCGGACGTCGCAACTCTCGTTTAAATTGATCAGTTATCTCACGGTCGCGTTGGCCCGCTATCTGCATCCTCACTGTCCGTACGCTGGCGTCTTTGTGTGTCGCAATCGCGATCATCCGACTCGCACGTTCAGCCTTCCACCGTACTACTTGCACCATGTGGCCCATGAGCTTGTTTTTGGCCGCTCTAATCACCTGTATGCTTCTCGGTCTTTCGCGCTTGACCCTGGAGGGCTTTTCCGTGAGGGCAGCCTTGGTTGTATATATTGGGGGAATCACCTGTATGCTCTTTGATCTTCAGTTGCTGCCAACAGGTACGCTGCCATCAGCTACGTGGTATGAGTATCCATGGTCACAGAGGGATTACGCTAGGCTAGCCGATCCGAAGTCATCTATTCGTCTTCTGCGAATGCGCCACGCCACAGGCAGGACAGAGCTCACTTTGGAGGAAGCGTCATTCTCGTCGTGGCCGTCGTATACTGCTCTATCATACACGTGGGATGCTGGCCCACACAAGCAATCGATACTCATAAACGGAAAACGCCATGTTATCAGCGACCATCTATGGGGTGCTCTTCGCAGCATTCGCGATCGGATGTTGTATGGAGATATACTTGTTTGGGTGGATGCGATTTGCATTAACCAAGATGACCCGGACGAAAAGGCTTCACAAATCGCTATCATGCCATCGATATACGAACGAGCACAGGCAGTGTATCTTTGGCTGGGCGATCATTTCGAACCACGATGGACAGGGCTGGCGAAATCCTGGAAGTGGGATGTGACGAAAACACTTCGTGAAGCCGAGGAAGAATGGCCGGGAACTGCAACATGGATATTTTCCTTGATGAATGCGGAGTATTGGAAACGTTGCTGGATCATCCAAGAGCTCCGCATGGCAAGTGACATATACGTACTGTACCATGTACCTAGCTGGTACAAGTCCAAGAGTGAGGCTATACCTTGGGATATCTGGATCCATCTGGTCAGGCTCTTCGAAGCGCAGAATGAGGCCTGGGTTCCTACGCATATTACTCGTAGAGTCCTGCGCATTGAGGATATTCGCCATCCCGTGAACACGAACCAGAACACCTTCACTTCGCTTTTGGAAAGCTTCAACGATTGTTTCTGCTCAAACTGGGCCGACAAGGTGTATGCTTTGATTGGGATTGCAGAAGACCACATTACCGATGTTGTAGCAGCGAACTACTCACAATCTCGATTGGATATGTACTCTGAACTGATAAATCTTCGAGCGCCCTCAGTGCCACTAGAGGCAAGGACTTTGACGCAACAGAAACATGCGGTGGACATGGTCTATTTTGCGAGCCTACTACGAGCCAGTATATCACGAAAAGCGTTCTCGATGGCCAAATTCCATGGATGGCGCCTGCCCAGACAGGATCCTGGGAGATGGGAGTACATACGCAGGACGAGCTGTAGTCCGTGGTGTTCGTGGGAGGACGAAGTTGTGGCAAGTATCATTGGCTACGTTCAATCATTGCTCATAAGTCTAAGAGACTCGACTAAGGGCCGTCCTTTAGACTTGGAGTGGTTTTGGCACTGTTCCATGCCAGAAAATAGTCAGGACTGGTCACCAGTGGAGTCGACTATCCGATCCGTGAGCGTTTCGGGCAGAACAACAGGAGTGGTGTATCAAGTAGGCCCGACCTATTTGTCGTTCTCCACGGACCCAGGTACAGCGAAGTCCTGGTTGAGGGAGTTAGGCAGCGATGCTCTGAGAGAAAAGGGAGACGTTGATCGACTTATCATGGGCCTACGATACTTGACGGCGGTGCTGAAAGGCCGGATCGGCTTCAAAGTCCGTAACTTTATTCCGTTCGATGATACAACAAGGTTTGGCTATCTACATTCGAGATTATTCTTGGCCCAGGACCCGGAAGGCGTTCAGTTCGTTGGTATTGGGCCCAAGACGACACGATCGGGCGATATTTTGGTTCAGTTCCTCAAAACGGATGCGGTACTGCTCGTACGTGAGTCTAGTCGTCTGGGATTAGTAGAGACAGTAGGGCGCGCAGGCGTCGTCAAAGGCGAAGGCACGATAAACAGTCCTTCATGGGATAGTCTCTCTGGAAACGACCTGATCCAGAAGGACGACGATCAAGCGTTTGAGACATTGCTGACACTGCATCAACTCACGCGCCTCTCCTTTGATTCAACTGTCTTGGACACCGAACGCGTGGCATGCCATCTTCCAGTTCCGGAGGCCATTCGGTCCCTGGGATCGTGACCGCATATCGCAATCGGTCCCTGGCTATAGCATGCGAAGTGGGGAAGCTGCAAGCCACCATGGTGGGAGCCTGGGGTGCATTGGTGCCACAGGTTCGGCCCACGTTGACGCCGAAAGTCGATACAGTCAATGCAAGGTGACAGATTTGACGTGTGCTCTCTTCAGTGGCCAGGAGTGTGATGATGGGCGGCGAGAGTGAAACTAGGTGGTGATGCTCGGTGTGTTGTGCTGGCCGTCTGGGCGCGGATTGGAGCGCTATGAGACCCTGCTTTTGCACTCCCCACATACATGTGCTAGCCCAGCGCGTGAGGAAGTCGCGACTGAGAAGCGACAGCTACGCGATACCATCCTCTGCTGTTTGGAACCATCCCATTAGGCCGGCACTTGCTGCACACCCCGCTGAGAGCGCGATTGGGAGTGCATTGATCAGCATAGGCCCCTGAATCCGGCACCGAATGGCGACACCACCCCCGGCTCGCGACAGAGCTCCCTCGGAAAGCGTGCCAGTCGGGAGTCCGCAGCCCAAAAAACTGCCCGCCCCCTCAACGCCCACATCCTCAGTCCGCCGCAAGATGGCTGCCAATGCGCCTTCCCCAGCCTCAAAAGATGGCGTCCCTCCACGCCGGCCGACTGCAGCCAGCGGCACCGCTGCGAGCGCCCGTCGTCCTGCAGCGGCATCAACAAGCACGGCGCGAACTGCTACGAGCGCGTCCAAAGCCCCCACCACGGCAACATCGCGCACCAGCACGGTTGGATCCAGCCTGAACAAGCCGCCTACGCGCCCGGCAGCAGGGACGACTGCGCGCAGGACCATCTCGTCGTCCAGAACCGCATCCGATGCCGAGCCAGACCTTTCGTCCGTCACGTCGGGCGACGAGAAGAAGAGGACAGCAGTGCGCCGGACGCCCGTCACGTCGTCAGCTACTTCGAGGCCATCTCCTGCCAAACCGACTTCGAGGCAATCCATTGCGCCTTCCTCCACGACAACGACTGCCGCCAAGCGTCCTGTAACCACACGCCCAACTGCAGAGGCAGCGACGACCCGCACTGCCCCACGCGCCTCTCTTGCTGCGTCAACACGGCCGACCGCTACTCGACCCGCGGCAGGAACACGAACGGCAGGCGCGACAGCGAAGGCGCCGGCTGGGCCTGCGAAGAAGCTATCCGTCTCTGCCCCTCCACCACCAGCGCCGGAAACGGAGGATACAGCCGAAGAAGCGTGAGTCAGCATGTATCGCCAGGGCTATTCAGTTACTAACTCAGTCACAGAGAGAGCCCCGTCGTCGTCACCCCTCGCCGTGCGCCCCTCAAGGACAAAGCTGCCTCCGATGCCGAAACCGAAAAGCGCAAGAGCGCTCTCGAGCCCATCAGGGCTTCCATGGCGAAACTCGGCGAGGAGCCGCCGCGTCCGGATACTGCGCCGACGGGACGTGCCGAGATGGATGTGGAGATGAAAAGGCGGAGCGCTCAGATCATGCAAGACTTCTTCAAGGAGACCAACCTACGCGACAAGCTCCAAGAGCAATGCGACGACCTCACCCGCGAAGTCGATAACCTGCACTCCGAGAAGGACAAGCTGCGCAAACAGCTGGCGGATGCTCAGGCCGCCATAGTTGAGAAAGACAAGGCCATCTCCGGTGGCTCAGATGCCTCGCCCTCGCAGCACCGCGCCCACACGATCCTCGTCGAGGACATGGAAAAGAAGTTTGCGAGAGAGACCAAGCAGCTGGAAGAGCAGAGCCAACAGCTTGAGGAAGAGAAAAAGGCTGCTCAGGAGAGGGAGGCAACCGAGGCAGCCAAGGCCAGCGAGCTGCAGCAGGTCTTGGACGATTTGAACGCCGAGTTGGAACAACAGGGCCAGCAATGGGACGAAGAGAAGAAGAAGCTTGTCGAGCAAGCTGCGCAGATCGAAGGGCTCAACAAGGAGATTTCCACGCTTCGGGATGAGCGTGACAGCTTGTCGCAAGAGCTGGACATCGCCAAGAAGACGTTGGAAAACCTGGAAACGAAATTTGCGGAGCTCGAGCAGACCCAATCCGACAATCTCCAATCGCGCGATGCTAAGATCACCGAGCTGACCAAGACTGTCGATGAGTACGTGGCAGAGGTTGCCTCTCGGGAGGAGAGGCATACCAATGCCCTCCAAGAAGCACAACGGTCTCTTGAGTCAAAGTCCTCTGAGTCTTCAGCTGTCTTGGAGCAACTTCAGTCCGAGATCCAGACGCTACATCAGAAACACACTGACGAACTGCGCCTCAAGGAAGAGACCATCGCATCTCACATTCAGGCGCAAAAGGAGCTTCAAGACGATATTGCCAAGCTGCAAGAACGGGCTGATCAGGTCTCT